CTCGCCCCAGCCCGAGGGGCTGGAGAGGGGCGCCAAGGCGACCTCTGAAGCCCAGATGGGGTCCAAGGCCAGGGGCTCCGCACCCCGGGACTTTCTATGTGGCTGTTTAGCAAACCCGAGGAGCTGGGAGCTGGGAGCTGGGGCTTTGAAAGAAGCCCTGTTGCTCCAAAGCGCACATCCAGGACTGAACTCTTGGGGGGCTGCGGACTTGCGCGAGAGGTGAGGTCTGCCTTGGGATATGCAGGTAAGGGGCAGTGCTGGGCAGGGCGGTCTCGGATCTCACTAGAGGGATTCCCCACCTCGGATCGTGGTTACTACCTTAATGCAGACAAGCCCCCCCTCCCACCTTGCTTGGAGTCTTCCCCTGGTTAATTTTTTCTGTTAATAGGAAATCTTGCAGGTCTTTATTTATGTAAAGGTGGACGTCTGTCTTTGTTTGTGTTATCATGCCAATGGCAAAGAGTTGGCCACATCCAGAATATTTGGTTTTTACCACGGAAGCATTTTGCTGTTAAAGATAGAAATAATTCTATCAGAATGTGAGCTTGTTTTTAAAAGAGAACTTTACAAAAACATTTACGCTTTTTTAAATACCTTTTGAATTCCTTTAATACACTAATCAGACAAACTCTAGAACTAATTTTATGAAACAGTTTTTAAAGGTGGTGAAAATGTTCTAGACATTTAAAAAAATCAACGTGATTATTGTTGCATTCATGGTATATCTTACAAAATGATAACGCTGAAATGCTGATGAGTGTAACTGGAAATCCATGTTCTTGGTAGCAGATGAGATACAATATTCAGGGCCATCTTGTGGATTAGAAAAATCATGTCTGTCTTTTGTGTTTCCTTACAGTGGTGTGTCCACAATGTTAAAGAACAGAGAAATGACCCTTGATCTGTTAGCATTTTGTCTCCCCTGTCTACCAGGAAATGCAGCGAGAGAGAAGTGAAATTCAGTTTTATTTTGTGATTTAAAGCATCCCATTAGTGCTTACTGTAACATTCACTACATTTTTCTGTAAGTTAGGTAAATACAAGTAAGCAAATAAATAAATAGAAGGCAGACCTAAAAGACCTTGTGTTTCCTGTTAGTAAGACCCAGAAGTTCGTAGAGGAGAGCTGCTCTCCCCACCGGCGTGTGCACAGCCTGCCCAGAGGGGAGGTGCAGTAAGCTAGTGGCACAGCCCAGATCAGAACCTGAGCCTCGGACTTCGAAAACGTGACCACTTCTGTCATGTTTTTCCCTTTGGTTTGGGGGCTTCATGTTCAAACTAAGTTGCATTTTAAAGGAATAAACATATTAATTATTTGTAAAACAGTACTCAGCAAGTAAGACTTCTTTTAATTGTTTTAAAACAGAAAGTGGAAAATACTGCTTTCTTAAAAACAAATAAAAGAACAAGTTGGGGCTCTTCATGCCTCTGCCAGGTGCCCTCATTGTTTCTTCAGTCTAGAAGGTATTTCTACTGATTGTTCTCTGTACTAGGTGTGGAGCTCTGAAGGCTGGGTGTTTTGGAGTTGCAAATCTATCTCCCTCAGTCACTGATGGATTTTACCTGTAATCCTTTCAACAGATTCGGGGATGGAATCTACCAGACCTTCACGATGATAGACGAGACCAGATGTTCACCCTGTTCCAATGTGCTGTGCGATCCTTCTGAGCCGGCTGTGCCCAGGAGACTAAGTGTGAGTAAGGGAAGTAGCTGTGTGCGTTCCCCCTGTCTTGGAGAGGAGGAAGTGCTGCGCAGTACCGCGGGGGTAGTCATGTGTCAACGCCACACAGACGTCGTCCCCTTTTGATGTCTTCTGACTTTGGAAGACAAGTTCTGTGGTCCAGGTTGAGCTTTCAGAAGGATTTTGACATGGAGCCCACGTTTTTCCTTCAGTTTCTACTGAGATAAATATATGGTGCCCGAAAAAAGAAATGCTGCATGTATGTAGGCAGTGTTTATTTTTATGGAGGATGACATAGTATTACAAAGGGTCCCTTCAGCACAAAACAAGGAACAGAAAATGCCTTGAAATTCATACATCTGCAGGAGTTTTCCCTGTAAGATGGAGTCCTGGCTTATTGGTATGCTAACGAGAACCATTTTGGAAGTCATAAATTAAACTTGAACAATGCAGTTTGGTTTTTGATGCATTTAATTTAATCATTTTAGGAACTGCAGACACTTAGCTTTTGACCCTATCTTACTTAAGATAATAATAAAATTAATTCATGTTCCCTCGGCATATATAGAGTAGTAGACAGAGCTAGGTTTGGACACGTTCCAAGACAAGGAGAAGCTGTCCTGTGACTTGAGATTTTGAATGAGTATATGAAATAATTGCATTGCCTAATTTGTACTATTTCTCTTTCATGTTTCTGTATTTAAGACCCGAAATTATTTCTGTATGGAAAAATGATATTATAAAGCATCAGCTAAAAATATTTGGAAGGCTGGTCACTATTTTTAAACTCCTTTATGGAGTGCAGTAGGCTTTCTTTCCATTCTCTGCAAGTGTATTTCTTTGGCACATAACAGTCTCTAAGACTCTAGAAATACCTACCCCTTGTTTGGACCCTCAGATTTCTTGGCCTCTATAGGACGCCCCTTTGCAGTTGGGCCAGTGTGTTAGCTTTGGACTTCACGTGTGTTTGAACTTTAATTCAGTGTTGGTCCCTGCTGATCACCTTCCAGTAGGTCGCTTAAATTGTTTGTTTCAGGATCAAAACGAATTTCTTACTGCGTGCCCAGAAAGACACTTTTTGGGAAGCACAAGATTTTAAATTCTGACTCAATGGTGTCTTCTCAAATTCTGCTGGAAAAGAAACTGCTTTTGACCTCTTGGTGAACTTGCAGTTCATTATACTGTGACTCCATCCCGAGACCCTACTGCTCCTCTCAAGAAGTCTTTGAGTCTCACTGTTGATTCAGGTCGCTCTGACACTCTCCCTGTAAACTATCTCATTTGCCCGTAGGCTTTTTTTGGGATACATTTTATGTTGCAAGATTTGGGGCCAGGAACTAGGTAAAGGGTGGATTTTTATATCTGGATGAGAAGGGCATTCTTTTTGAATTACTCAATAATACTTTTAGGATTCAATGAATGCAGTATATTTTTAGTATTTGAAGCACTGTGAGCCCTGCAGGTTAACAGTATGTGTAAGGCATTCTTAAGAAATGAAACATGGTCAATGTTTGTCAGTCCTGTCTCTCTGGATATAATTACAAGGTCAAAAAAATATGTGTTAGAGTTACTAATATACATTCTTGTTATTGTAATTATTACCCTAAACTAGAAATATGTGTGTTCTGTAATTTAAGTTTTAATACTTGTGAACATTGTAGATTCTCCAAAAACAGTGGAAGGAAGGTTTCATTTATAGCACAGAAGACTCAATATATAATTGACTCAGGGCAATATTTGAGTTATTTACAGGAAAAAAAAAAAGATAAGGGAACAACTCCATGATGTGTGGAAAGCTTCCTTCCTGGAATTCTCCATGTCCCTGGAGGTTAGGGCCTACACCTGCAGCAATGTGTCTGTCCTGGAAGCCAACTGCTAGGTGGAGGGGCAGCCTGCAGGGAGAATGTGAACTAACAAGGTGGACAGGGACCCAGCATATATGGCGGGGAGGTGAGAGGAGTGAAGAGGACAGCAAATCTGCAGAAGAACTTTGTGGCACACCGAGGACAGCCTCTTTCAGGCACCCTGAATGCCTGCAGTGACATTTGGTAGCGCTTCTGGTAGCGAGGTAAATGTAATTGTCATGGAGAGAGATTGAGATTCACTTTAAAGAAAAGCCATGAGTCAGGAAATCCCAGTGAATCCATTTATTAATGCCAATTAATATCATCGCAATTGTCCTTTGGAAATTTAATTTATGCTCTCGCTGCCATGCTGTGTCTGGGACCCTGTATTCATCACCAACAGAAATGAAAACTTCCAGAGTGGCGCAGCATGGCCTTACAGGTGGACAGAGGAGGTAATGTCCCACGGAGGGCCTCGAGGCCGCAAATGCTTTTCCTGCCAGCTGTCGCTGGCCACTGCGGTTCCTAGAGAAGCATCTCTTCGGTTAAGATAGTGACCTTCTGTTACAGTTCCAGTGCCCCAGGGGAGGGTAGAACCAGCTGGAAGCAGGCTTTGAGTAGGGAGGAGGTGGGCGAGGTGTTTCTACACCGATGCCTGTGACGGGACCAGGGTTGGCAGAGGGGTTCTTAGTGGGAGATGCTTGGGGGAGCGAGATTGGCAATGCAGAAGAAGCCATCAGAGAGAAGAAACCAAAAAGGGAAAGGGAAGGTGTGTAGGAGTTTAAACCTTAATATATGGAGAATTCTGCCTAATTGTAACCAGTGTTTTGAACAAGTGTCATAGTTTGTGAGGGTCTTTGAAATACATATATA